AAACATCTTCGCTGGAATCTCACAAAACCCAGAACACCAGCTCTATCGCGGAGCTCACCCCATATACAATTGGATGTGATGTAGTTGTGCTGAAATCCTTAAAATCTCTAGCAGCAATTTGCATGCATTCTGTGACATAAAACCGCAAAGCACCGAGAAGTTGCCTTATCGGCGACACAATTACAGACAGGACAGACAAAGTACATAAGTAACATTAAAATATTCGTAGATTTCTTCGAAAAATAAGTTATAAACTGGCCTACGTGCCATTTCTATTTTATTATTTTTCGGTCGACCGACAACAACAATTCTTTACACAGTGAGATTAGATCAAGTCTTTAAACGGCGTTTAAAGCAATAAAAGCCCAAAATCGGCCAGTTCATTTCTTTAAACGCGTTTAAGCACAAACTAAGTTTAAGGTTCTGGTAAAATTCGTTTCGCGCGTCAAACTGAGTTTCAGACGTTAAACTGGTTTAAGATCGCTTGATGAAAATGAGCCTTAGTGTCGTTTCAAATGAATAGCTTGCGGTCACAACTTTAATTGTTTATTGCAACTTAAATATTGCAATTTGAGGGCAGATATTTGGTATGCGCGATTTCTATAGATGGACAAATATATTAAAGGGATAAAAAAAATATTTCAGTTCCCCATTCAACAGTCGCTTGCCCCGTGAATTACGGCAGACCATTTCGAGGGTCCTGGATAAACCCATGTCATGCGATTTTCCAAAGCTTTTGTAGAGACGCAAGTTAGATGTGGGAAATACCCAAGAATCAATGATAAGAAGCTGATTGCAGCACCCCCATTTGCTGCAACTCTACTATAATATATAATATATAGTGACATCCTAGATATAAATTCTGACGATTTTGTATTGATTATAATGAACAAGGCTCAAGCAGAAATAAACAAAAAATTGGCTCCAAATTACTTGATATTCCATCTAAATTCAATGTTTATTTTTATGAGACGAACTGCAGCGAATACATTTATTAACTTGGAAGAATCTCTTAAATATTGAAAAGCAACACAATTTGCATACTTCATTAGAAACCCATAAAAATGATGCAATTATTGTTGAAGGGTTGGTGCAACAAGAGCAGAAATATCCCGTATCAAGCATTCTTTATTCCAAAACTCAAGGGCGAATCGATATTGACATCCTAGATATAAATTCTGACGATTTTGTATTGATTATAATGCAAAAAAGTCAAGCAGAAATAAAAAAAAATTGGCTCCAAGAATTTAAGCATCGATGCATCGAAAAATAAAAAACAGAAAATATCAAGCAGAGGTGTACAAAATACTTAGAACCCTACTTGAAGAAACAGACGAAAAACGATTTTATGATTTATTTTTGGGAACCAAAAACTATTTGAGTATCAATTAGGAAACTAAAGGTTTTGCAAACTATTTTTTTAATAACCATAAAAATTATATTTTTTCTTGGGCATTTTGTTTCCGCCTTCACTCTGGGGTCAATTCAAACATGCACTTAGAAAGAAAGCATCGAACTGCAAGAGACCGCCTTTTTCATCAACTAGTTATTCATCACAAAGCGAAAGTAACGAGTAAAATTAAAGCTATTAGGAGCAGACATAAAAAAGCATAACGTTAGATTCAAGCAAGTTAATACAAAATCAACGAGGTTAGATCTACACAAATCCAAAAAATGAATCTAAATATTTCATAGAGAAAGCAGACGACCATTTTAAAAATATACATATATAGGAGGAGATACATATATACAAGGTGTGATTGTTGCATTCATCAATTCGCTTAAAGTTGTAGTGATAACGCTATCCAGTGGAGCATTTGTAAACATATTCATCTATTATGTAGCACAAGGAAAGAAGGTGTTGGCCAATTTCAATTAACGAGAGATGCAATTCGACAAGTTGGTAGTCAACGGACCAGCCACAATGACATTGAAAATATCATCATATCAGAAATTACAAAAGAGAAAAAACGTATTACAAACAATGATTTAGAAAAATAAAAAGCTATATTAAAGGATATGATCATGAGGATAATTGACAATACAAGTAACACTGAAATTTAACAGTATATTCAAAGCCTAGTTTTACCAACAGTTTAAGTACTCGACAACTCCAACAATATAATTTTATAAAAAAAAACTCAGAAGAAAAAACAAAAGCTAAAAAGAAACCTGCTAATAAATTATTGGAACCCTAATTGAGACTGTTTTCCGAAAAGAAGAAGGCACAGCAAAGTGTCGCTCGTATTGCAAAACCTTCTTCGATAGAAAAGAAATTGATTTACCCTGAAATTTTATCATAGAGCAATGAACCTTTTAGTTGAATATTCAGTTCACTTCTTCGTCGAAAGAGTCTTCGAAGAATCACCCATCGAAATCTTCATCTAATTCGACATGAACGTGTTCCAGAGGTTCTTCATTTAATTCACCGGTCGTCCCAGCATCGCAGTTATTGGACTCATTCCAGAGTTGCTGCCTCACTGCTTTGATGAGTTCGGCCAGGTCCTCTTTGAGCCCAATACGCTCGGCCTCCATATCTATGGTGTCCAAGCGCACCACGTATGAGAATTGAGGGAATGTTTCGCTTTCGAAGCCGAACCTGTAAAAATATTCACAGTCACCTTTCCCAACTTGCCTTTTTCTGAAGAAGTTGATCACGCAATTCACATCCCTTTCGAAGAACATTTTAGCATTTGCATGGTGAGTAAAAATCATGCGAGAAAAAAAACAAAACAAATTTCATTATATTGTTCATCAGTTTGTCGTAAAGAGCCTTTACGTTGTCCAGTTCATGCACGCGATGAAGAAGAGTGCCTGAAGAAGATGCCGTTTTAATATCTTTTAAAATGTAAAGGGTTATTGATTTAGCTTTGGCCACCTCGTTTTTGCATCTAATGTGCAATTTAGAGAAAAATGTTAAATAAAAATGTTGTAGATATTAACGTCTAGTTTAATAATATTTTTTTAAATTGAATGCCGATCTTTTTATTTCATATTCGAACTAATAGATCGAACTTTTAGTCCTATTAGACATGCCAAAAGTTGTGTTTTTCAATTTTCAATTGTTTTTAATTGACAATGATATTGTAATTAATGCTTATTGTGTTAATAACAGATATTGGTTAAGCTTTGACCACCCCGCTCTTGTATTTAATTTGATATTGAGACAAACAATTAAATGGAAAAGTTGTTGATATTAACGTATAGCATCTTTTAAGCTAATACCAATTGATACAGGGTGTCTGAAATTCAAGTAGCAGACCAAACTTACATTTTTAAATCGAACGCCGTTCTTTTTGTGGCAAATTCGAACTATGCTAGTTTATTTTCAGAGAATACCAACATTTCTATAGAATAGATGTTCAACAAAAGTTACGGCGTTTAATATTTACAACTTTGAAAAAATAATATTTATATCAAATAGGCCTAGAATTTTGAGTATAGTTTGATTATGCAATAAAAAGACTGGCGCGCAATTTAAAAAGTGTGAGTTTGCTTTGCCACTTGAATTTCATACACTTTGTATCAATCGGTATCATCTGAAAATAAACTGTCAATAACTTAGTCAATATTAACTATTAACTCAAAAACAGAAAAACAATGTCGAACATTTATACCGAATAGACCTGCACTTCGAGTTATAGTTCGAATATGCATTAAAAAGTACGGAATTCCATTTAAACAAATGTAAGTTTGGCCTGCCCCTTGAATGTGAGACACCCTGTATCTGTTTCTGTTGTCTTAAACTAAACTACAAGTTTATATCTACAAGCTTTGAACATGCACCTTCACTTATGAAAGACTCACCTTTGATCAGTTCCATTACCACACAATGTCGACTGAGATCGTAGGGTTGAGGCACCGGAAACTGGCGATCATGCAGGACTTTCATACAAGCGAACTCTTTGGTCGCTGATCTGGCAGACAGGTTCAGCCAGAAAGCAGACTTTCTGTGGCAATTGACAAAAATTGATTAAGGAAGGATCTCAGAAGGAAGAATTCGTTTTAAACAGTACCTTCTTTGGTGATGGCTAGGCTTGTTCACGCTCCTTTTAAAGTACAATAATCCACGCCGGTGCAACTTGAGGCATCTTTCCTGTTCCCCTGCAGACACAATATAAATATTGCTCTCCTTCCCCACGCTAATCTGGTTTCCAAAGGCATCGACAGAATCGCGTTTCCGCAAGGAGTTCAGCGCCAAATAGTCGTATCCAAAGACGTTGAGGCTTAACGCCTCAGGCCTGGTGCCTCTCTCGAACGACAGCAACTTATGTTTCTGCAGGTTACCAATTATTTTGCCTGTGCGCCAGTGCCTCAAACGGGCAATCGAAGCCACTT